TTGATTAATTATCAAGCTCATTAATTGATTACATCCCACTAAACAAGTATTCTCACAAGATGGCTAGAAAATAAATGATAACTCTACAAGTCAGTTTTTGATACCCATGTTCAGCAGAGAACAGATAGCCCATTGCATAGCTTTATGTTTAACAACAAATAAACATAATGGCAATATTGGAAAAATAGGAAACCCTAATTCTGATTAGTTATTTTTCATGAGTCAACACTAACTCGTTAAGCTGAACAAACCTGAATTATTCAAAAAATAATAATGAAAAACAATAATGGTAATATTTCAATTAATGTATGGTTAGAATAATAAAAATAATTGGAAATACTAAGCTTGATTACTTTCATGAAATTAATCAACTTAATCATCCTTTCAATTAATTGAGTTAAATGCCTAGTTTTACTGTTAAGTAGCAGTGTGTTTAGTGGTGTTGATATTTCATTATTTATTAAGTAAACTTATTAGTGTAATCATTTATGCATTCAAATATACCTTACACTTTTCAGCTAGTTTTTAGGGTGATTTACCATTTGCCTTTTTAAATATATTACTTTCAGATGCCTACTCCTCAACTTAACCATATTTTGAGAAGTCTGGCTTTATTAGTCATTACCTTGATGACAGGCTGCTCATACTAAGTTCAATAATTTCTCTATTACATTGAATTTTAGCCTGGTTAATTAATACAGTCTGCTAATTTGAATATTGATGAGCTACAATATAGTTTGTAATTTTTTTTAAATTATCATCATTATTTATTATTGTTGTTATTATTCATTATTGTTTTTGTGCTGCCAGGTATTTAGTATTTAAAAGATCATCCCAAGGTATCTAGCCACTGCAGTTAATTTAACAACAGGATTTATATTTGACAATTTACCGAGTCAATATTTATTTATTAAACACACACACATTTTTTTTTCACCAAGTTTATGTATCTCTCCTCTATTAACTTTACAGCTTAATGATTATTACCACATACTATTTATCTTTGATGTCAAACTAATTAAAATTACATGGATGAGGTTGAAAAAACAGTTTTCAAAGGTCAATCATCATCAGTTGTGAAGACTATACAAGATATTCTCTTATAATGAAAATTGGTGACAGAAAGTCAATAAATTCTAAGAAAAAGTAGCTCATGTATTTTTGTGTATGATTTCTAGACTTTTTGTAACTTCTGTTAGATTTTGATGTTGAGTGTGTACTACTATAAATAATTTTTTGTACTGGTAAAATACGTGGGTTTTAGGAACTAACTGTATATTGTATGTAATGACCTACTATATTTTTATTTGTAGTTAATTTCATTAATATTTTCAGTTATAATTTTTAAAATAACTTAGAAAAATTCATTTATTTTTGGACTAATTCTTACTTTTGTGAATTTAATTTTACATAGTTAGCTTAATATACAGATGAAAACTATACTATAAAAAGGCTTAAAAGAATTATAGCAAGGAAACAATTTTTAATTAAATGTTTAGAACCAGTAATTAAATAACTTTTCAAATGCCTTTCTATATTGCTGTAAATACATTCCAACATCTACTAATAGAGAAGTCAGACTAATAAACCTATGACTTTCCAGGTCTTTCCTCAATCCCTATTCAAAGATATAACTATAAAAAACATATTATCCATTAAAAATGTGAAACCATTCAAACACACATCACATAAAGAAAACATGTTTATAAGTCTGTGTATATGTGTGAGGGGGGGGGGGTAATTCCTTACATTTTTTCATAACTGAAATTAAATTAGAGAGAGGTTAAAAGAGTAAAGCTACTGACCATGATAAAACTGAGCAAACATATTTTTTGTTTTTGCAATATAATTCAAAATTGAATAAATAAACAAATTCATAGGTCCATAATAGATTAATGGAATCTCAAATGAAAAATTTAAAAGGTACATCTTGTTGGAGGTTCGAGGGTCAGCCACCTCTGACAGCTTGCTCTCGTTTTAAATACAAACAACAGGAATATTTGAATTGACACTGTAGTGTACAGCTCATTGCATTGGCTCAGTGTCAAGATAACTATATTGACTGGAAGCTTTCAAAATGTTTAATGAGTCTGAGATATAACATTCCCTTTCACAGCACTATGGAATAAGACTCTTGAATGTTCATTCTCTCAGAAGAGCTAGATTCTCAAATCCAATCCTGATGCATAAACATGTGAGCTCTACAGCTAACACTACACATACATCCAAGAAAAAAACATTGGAGAAATGACAATAAACATTACTCATACATCCATGAGAAACTAACCTTTTAGTTCATATCCTAGGGTGTTTTTGTCATACAATTTCACAAGTTTAACCAAACAATTAATTTAACTGTTAAAAAAAACTTACATTTTAGGACTATTGGGCCTTTGGAGCAATGGGCCCTTAAACTAAAAGACTGTCAACATGGTTAAAGAAGGATTTTTAAGACTTGATGACTTTAAGGAGGATTTTTAACACTTACTCACCATTTAGGTTGACTTTTGTTGTATAAAGTTTCTCATAATAGTGATGGAAAAAATGTGATGGAGTTATTTTTATTTGAAGAATGTCACTTGTGAGGTATCTTGTGTTTGTTTTACTGTATTATTCATTATTTCTTTTAAGGATTTGGATACCTAGTTAAAGTTTTTTTTCCAAATGTTATAATGAAACTAATATGCTGGTAAAAGCAAATAATTTTTTTTATTTAGAGTAATAAGTGATTATAATAGCCAAAGTGGACTTTATATCACATTGCTTGATCTAGACAGCCAGTGAATAAAAGCTGAAAATAAATGTTTGTGTTTAGATAATTATAAACTATTATACTAAGGGCATGAAAAGTATTTTGTTGTGTCATGGAAAAAGGGAGGAAATTGGGTAAGATTAGTGATGAAAGTTTGAAACTTTTAGTAAATATTTACATGTACTGAAAATAGCAAACACAGTACCATAATTTGTTTATGGACATATTAAATTTAAGAACAAAAAATTATGGCTTCCTTGAACTGAAGTAATAAAAATATATTTTGTAAATTGAGATCTTAAACGTTCAGTAAATGACTGTGCTTTCAGTTTAAGTTGGCTTAAACATTCATTGGATAGGTGTGACAGACTATGATAATCTTGAGTTAGTGATTTTTATGGTTTTCCAGTAAGCAAATGGCCTACCATGTTGTTTATAAGTTCTCGTTTTACCTGTTCTTTGAATAATATTTAGTAACATATTTTTCATCCATGAGCATTTTATACAATTACAAAGAAAACTTATTAACTCTCTTCTGATAAATAGCTTTGGATAAACCAACAAATAAAGTATCCTAAGTAAACAGTAAAGTTTAATATACTATTTATAAATCTACAACAGAATTCTGAGAGATAGAGTTACATGTTATATAAAAATGTTTTGAAATACAAATGAAAAAAAAAACAACATTTGAACCAATAGCCAATTTATTCATTGGGGGGTCCATAATATTCAAATAAATAAATATCAATAAATTACTCTTTAGAGTCTTAAGGATTGCACAGATTGCTTATTTTAGATACAAATATAATGTTAAGACATTTTAATCACCATTTAATTTGCTGTATTACCATAATAGAATAATAAATAGGCAGATAGTGATATACAGTTAGTAGGTTACATAAATATATACTGGAATATCTTTTCACTCTATATAGCATACATACACTTGACAGGCATGCCTATAAAACAGTACAGAGTTAGTTAAAGAGATGAAGGACTGGTATAAAATAAACACAAGTACTTGTACTATGTAAACTTGTTCCACATTTAAGTAGGCCTCTGTTTTAGTGACCCCTTTTCATACTTTCTGCTTCAACAGAGCTGCAGAACAATGTTTAAGCATCAGCCATTTTCTTAGAAAGAAATCCTTAAAATTATCCCTTTTTAATCATATGTTACTTGGTGGATTTATAGACAGCCAAAGAAGACAAACACTAGGGCATATTAGCATTGGAAAAAATTTGAATTTGAATGATAAAGGTGCCCTCCCTGACTATTTAAATGTAATAGTTTTGTAAAATAATATTCTGATTTATATTTATATGTATGAGTAACAATTATAATAAGGTCAAGTATGGCACTCCTATAAATATAATTTTTTTTATAAAATCTACTTAACAGTTTTATCAGCTATTTTGCATACTTAAGATAAAGGGTGATATTACCAAACTTACAGGATTTCTAAAATATAATAAACAGATTATAATTCCTTTTTTCTAATGTTAAATTAATACACCTAATATTAGTAATAATTAAACTGTGACATTTCCCCAAGATAAAAAACAACCTCAACACAAAACAGAATTTCTTCATCATTAATTTCCATTTCTTCATAATTACATTTGAGAATTTTACAGTGTAAAAACCAAAGTAAACAGTTTTCAAATTTCAAAAGAACAAATAACTGAAAATAAATTGAAAGCAACAGTCACAAATACCAAGGTACACTCCGTAACATTACTGAGAATAAATTCTAATCAATAACACAGTTTACTCCATTAAAGTTAAACATCAAAAATATTTTTATCCTACAACTATGTAACATAAACTGGAAATCTTAGTAATTCATAAGAAATACTAACTGGCTTAAAAAGTTATACCCATACACTATTTCGTGTGAATGTTACACTTAATCTTAAGAGCAGCCAAAAAAAAAATCAAATATAAACTTAAAAGAAAAAAAAACAGCTGCTTCTCAATAACTGAATAAGACCACTTCTCGCGAGAGTATAGCAAAATGGCCATGTCTTTGTTCGGTAAAATTAAATGCTTATGTTCAACGTATACCTTTTAGGTTTTTTCACGAGTATATAGCTTTAGTCAAAATACGTAAGTAACATTTCAAATTCATTGAATATGTGCATTTCTAGAAACAACTAATACTATATATAATATAGTTATAAAAAATGTTTGCACAAATTAAAGCTAAATGAAATTGAAAATTAATAAAACTTAAAAGTCTTACTAGCTGTCGTTGGGGAAACTGGGAGGGTTTGGAGCTTCAAACTGGTTCAAATGACAATATAAAACATCAAAACAGAAAAAGCACATCTCCACGCTAATAACCATTCCATTTCGATAAAGAGATGGTTGATATGGGTTTGGGTTGAAAAGATTTCCATTACAACAAGTATGGTGGTTGAACTTCTGCTTCTTAGCCCCGCAACAGCCAGCCGCCATGCCTATAGGCTACACTACCTATTGCCCACTGCTCGTTAGCTTTCAATGGAATGACCTAGCGCCCTCTGTAGCACACATGGTGTAATACATCGTGTAACACTCAGTTAATAACTAACTATAGTTTTCTCATATTTTCTGGTTCGATATCATCTCGTTATTGAGGGCAAACAATGGAATACTTTATGCACACCTTCAAGATAGTCTACGAATAATATTTAAAAAATAGTAAGTTCATATTTTAAAATGATTATTTGGAAAGTATCTTAATTTGCTATCACGAAAGCAAAAGAATAAGCGTGGATTCATTACAGAGAAATCTGCGCTTCATAATTTTCTCTTAACTTTTTTCGAGGATGCGATGCGTTATCTAAATAATGGAAAGAGTTTGGTTTTGGTCTACTTAATTTTTCAAAAAGCTTTTGATAAAAGGTCGCACAAAAGGTTAGCTAAGAGAATCACATTAATGGAGGTTGGGGAAACTAGTAAATGGGTTGTAGCATGGTTGGTGGAGAGAAAGCTAAAAGCTGTTGTCAATGAATTCCAGTGAACCTAAAGTAGCGCCCCAGAGGTCAGTTGCTTGGGCCCTTTATTTTTCACATTAAGTTTTAATTACGTTATGTTGGCAATAATTTCATGTAAACTGTAAAGTGTTTTTCAAACCCATATAGCCACGATATATTAGCAATAAACTTAAGGCTTTATAGAGCTAAAATTCGAGGTTTGACCCCTCTGATGAGTCTAGTAAAAATAAACCATTTGGATGCTTTGTAGTTAACAGCAAAGAAATAAATCAAACGTATATCATTTGTATATAACACTTGTTTCTTTTTCATTCCTTAAAATCTGCATCACCTCTTTCTCTGACACAATTCAAGAGATAAGCTATTCATTTCTAAATTAAATTATGTTTTACCTTTACGAGTATTCTTCTAATTATTTTTAATCACCCAATAACATGTCTAATTTTCATGAACTTGTTCTAAACAAAATGATTTACTAAAAGCTTAGTGAATATTTTGGATTGTTTGTTTGTTTGTTTGTTGATTTTCTCGTAAAGCTACTCAAGAGCTGTCTGCCATAGCTAATTTTGAAGTGATATACTAGAGGGAAGGCACCACGTACCACCAACTTTTGTCTAACCAAATGTTGGGATTTGATTGTCAGACTTATAACGCACCAATGCTCCAAAGTTTGGGCACGATTTTTATTTTTGGCGGCAATGAGGCACGAACCACAGAATGGTATTGGACCGCACTCAACCCATTTTGGATAGAAACTGTTAAATTATCTAAAAATACGTGAATAATACTATAATAAAAAATAATAACTGAATGTTTAGTTTAGTTTAAAGGATGGGACAGCCAAGATGGACCAATAAGTCCCATGTTTTCCCCAAATATTATGTTATAATATTAGGTTAAAATAAAATTCGACTAAGTGGAAAGATATTTTGATAAAATATTATACGTTAGTTATGTGACTCGGAAAGCGAAAAATGCAGTTGTTTGTACACACACACTTGCAAAAGGATGTTTGCTGTTATATTTTTTAACTTAAGAAGTAATAACATGAAATATAAAGCAATGACTATATTATATTTAAATTATTATTAATCTGCATTCGTCATCCTTGGAATAAAAATTGGTGCAAATATATATATATATAGATCTTACAAAACTCGTTTTTTTTCAAAGTATTTAAATTTATGTTCGCACATTTATTTTTTTTTCATACTTCACTATGTTTAGATGTTCAAAATGTTAACGACAACATATGAGCTAAACGACTATATCAGAGAAAACACGGTTCAGTCATAGCCATTCCTAATTTTACATTTCTGATCAGAAATAGAATAAACAGTCAGCACATGCCGCCTATACAGCTACTATTAACCAATTAACGGAATTTCTTGTCACTTCTGTAATATGCCCATACAGGAAAATGCTAATTATATTCAGCAACATATCGCAGGCTCAAACCTTCGACCCTCCGATGCATTGCCTTGAAAGCTAACCACTGTGAGATAGCAAATTCTACTTTTATTTTCTTATAATTTTGTTTACCATTAATTCGTTTATTATCCCTTCTCTCGCTTAGTTGAACTATGAATTTCTAGTTACATTAAAGCGCTAACTCATTTGGTATCTAGAGAATGTTGAATTTGAGTATATATGTGTTATGAAATTTATACAAGGTTCTCATAGCGGTGACGTACAAATGTTAATTTTGTGAAAGATTATATAGACTTATGGTAATAGCTAGTCACATGCGATGTAACCTCGTAATATAACCACTAAATAAAAAACCATCATTGATCTTTAAAATGGGTTAGTTCACGAGGTATAGTTATAAATAAATATTGATAATTATTGCTCGATATTGTTTTTTATATTGAGAAGCGTTTTAATTTTGAGACATTGTATTATTCTCTGGTGAATAAGGTATTTTATTCTTCTGGTTCTTTTTTCTCCTAATTTTTTGATATTTATTAAAATTAATCCAATTGAGATTTATGTTGTGTTGTTTACTAACGTGTGTATCTAGTCCTAGCCAGGTACGGGTTTACTACTTTTTTGGTAAGTGGTAAAATTTGTATTCTAGTTGTTTTAATTTTTTATTTTGGGTTTTCATTGTTATATTTTAATAAGTTGTTTTTGTTTTGACCCTAGTTGTAGCGGCGTTTTGCTCAGACCGTTACACCAAAAGGCCAGGCACGGCTCATAAAATGTTAAAACCGGTGAGGAAACTTTGAAAATAATGTTTCGTTGCTTTGTCTGCAGTAAATCATGTACAACTGTGTAATATGAGCTGATATAATATTTGGCTTCTTATGGACTAAGCTGGCAGGCGACGAAATCATAACTACAAAACAGTGGTGAAATTATCAAAGATCGATTGCTGTCGCATAAAAAAAAACATTTTTGTTAATGATTGAAATATCATTTATGAACTTGCGTTTTCTTCTTCTTAGTTCCATTAGAAAAATTAGAATGTTAATAAGAATTTTTTAAATTTTAGCTTCGAAAACGTCATTTAAGCTGTTTTAACAGACAGATTAACATTTTTGTTCTATATCTTCATTAAAGATTTATACACATTTTAAAAATTTACAATGAGCGAAAAGATGACTATACAATATGTATGAAAGGGTGGACAACATAAACGTTTCATATATATAGCATTATACTTTTCTTCTATTCGGTTTGAACTCTGAAAGACATCATGAATGAAATTACTATTTATCTAATCTTTGATAGGATGTTTAGGCAGAGTATTCATAATGAATCTAAGTTTCAAATGGACAGTAACTGCCTGTTGTAGATGTAGAGGACGACGTTTCGAAAGTCTTCCGCCTCGAAAACGAAAACGAAACCTGAAGACGAAAGGCGGAAGATTTTCGAAACGTCGTCCTCTACATTTGTAAGTTTCTACAATAGGCAGTTGCTGTCCATTCGAAACTTAGATTCATTATTTACTATTTATCTATTATTATTATTATTATTCACTCAATGGTATTTGAAGAGATGGATTTCATATACCAAATGTTTATATAGTATGTGTATAAGAATGTTTCCTAGAAAAACATTTTAAAATGCTTAACTCTTAGTTACAAGGGAAGCTTTTAAACACAATAACAGGTTTTTAAAGAAGTTATTCTTTTTTCTGTTACTTAAGCGTGAATCGTTTATTTCGAAATTTGGCGGAAAAGTTCTGTAAAAAGCCACTTGCAGCTGCTCAAAAATAAATGATTATCATCCTACGCTAGCGTGGCCAGATTTAATACGTGAAAAACCGGAACAAGTTTGTTTTAGCAGGAAATATCCATACAAAAGTAGTGAGAGTTTTCAGAATTGATTTCTGGAAATTTCTAAAATAAAATATATATAAAAAACTGCCTGGAAATGTCTGAACTCATTGTTTAATAATTTCCTGGTAGTCTTTTGTTTGTTTTTGGATTATTATCTTAGGAAAGAATTTCGTGTATAAATGATAATAGGTTAATTTGTAACTCATTTTAGGCTAATTCAATTCGTATTTAATTATTTATAAATGAGAAATTCAATATATATATATATTTGAATCTCTTAAAATTCATTTCACTTCGTTTAGCTTTTTATTCAAAATATCTTTTTATTTCATCACAAAGTCGTAAAGTTGCACACAATTCATCTTTAAATTAGTTACGACGTGAAGTACTCACTTCCGTGAGTTTTCACTTGTAAGTCCACTGCACGTTCATCAAAAAGAATATTCTCTTCACGTTGCCATTATGTGAAGGAATGCCAAAAAGGTACTGACACAGCATCATAACTTTTGAGTACTGTTCAACGTGGTCACATTACTTGGAGAAATGTGCCCATTTTTCATGACAAAGCCTATCTTTCCAATATTCCTTATTCTGTTCTGGTACACGTTTTACATATTTATTTGTTTGAATAGAGCTGCGTCATCGACTACAATTCCCTTTTCCCTCAAGTACAAACAAGTAGCCTCTATTTATTCACACAAAAGTGTTGTATTGAGGAATATCCAGGAAAACACGATATATATTTGAAAATGTCTGCATCCATTTGTGGAGATATTCGTAACACGTATCATAGAATTCTTCGACTTCTGATTTGAGCATTGAAACAGCTGACTCAAAAATTCCATCTCTCCTCAGAAAAAAATTTGCGTTAATGAAGGTGAAATATTGGTTTCTTATTTCCTTAACTGTTTGAACTGTTTCTTCCAACGCAACCATTAGTTCAGTCACATATTAAATGCTTCTCTCGATCTTTGGTATACCATTTTGGAAAACGCTGAATCATTGAAGAACTGTACGAGTGTTTTAATGGTCTTTTCTTCTAATGAAAAGAAAGAGTTAAGACCCTCAAAGAGCTTCATTAGTCTTTCTACAGCGGGAAAGAGCGAAAGCCAACGTGGTTTTGTGATATATAAAATAGTTTGGTATCACAGACCTCCTTCAATTTTTTTTGTTCTGGCAGTGTAAATAGAGAGGTAA